CCTGTCAAGCACTAACATCTTATACAAGAAACGACACTGCCTTAAATGGAAACCGCCAAACTCTTCACAGTGCTGCACCCAAATCGACCACATCGCCATCATTTACCACTGGAGGTCAATCCAAGACTGCTGCTCTTACTGGTCAACACCTGTGGATACAGACCACGCATTGTTACGAGCCCAATTCTCCTTATGTCTGGCAAACAACCTCAATAAAGCCACCAGTGACGGATACACACTATTCACCGTCGGCCATAATTACAAATCGGCATTCGAAACGGTGCTCTTCGATCGCCTATTAGTTCAACCACCAGCCGGATGATTCAATGAACACGATGCAAATCACGGAAGCTATGCAAATATCGATAAAACAACGTCGGACCCTGGTGCAGGCTCAAACACAAACGTTGGACTTCATCTACCACGGCTGCACTGCCGGACGCCGACAAAGTGCTTCACATGACAGTTCAAGCAAAATCCTGCACCAAATGCCATCACGGAGAGACTGCACCTTGACGCGGTGTGATAGCTTGTACACCTCGCTGACTACCGAGCTACACAAGATGGCTTTTTCAAGCCGAAGATCTAATCATGCCCGGAAGGTCGAAGAGTAGAGGTCCCCTGGTCCTCCAGGTTGGGGGTTGTGTTTCAGTCAGTAAAAATGGTGGAGGAGTAATTGATCCAAGTAAATGGGCATCTACTTCACCCGCTGCCTGGGGCTAGGTTCTTGTCAGAACTAAAGGCTTTGGTTGAGAACCCGAATCGTTCTCCTGCTTAGCGGCTGGACACCCTAACAGTACCCGTTCATCACACCTCAATGCATATGAATTGCGAGTTTGGCAGTGATCAGTATTTTGCTGTATGATGATGATCATGATGATAATAATAACCCAGGTAGTTGGAGCTGTTAACGTCCGTTTTATTGCGCACGTAAAGTCCGATTTGAGAGCNCTGTACTCACATACCTCCGGTCGTGTAAGGGTTTACAACAATCTAAGTAGACCGTTCGTCACCAGCAGCGGCGTCCATCAAGGATGCCCTCTTCCGCCGTTCCTGTTCAATTTCGTCATAGACGAAATACTGGAGAAGGCACTAAGTGGATTC